TATATATATATAAATTATTTTAGCATGTTAAACTAAATAAAAATGGGAAATCTTGCCTATGTTATTTATATTTTATTTCAAGTAACATTGTTTTTTATGGTTTTATTTTTATTTTTATGGTCTTTATAGTTCACATTCAATTTCATTAAAGAGCAGTGTGAACATTCAGCTAAACATCTACATTTGTATTCTACAATATAAAGAATGTCCTACAGGTTTGTAACAACATATGGATAAGAAAATAACGACAGAACATTTTTTAGATGATCTGTCCCTTTAAGCCAGTGTTGTTTGTGCTGTTGTTGTTGTGATGATGATGTCATAACACAGTGCTGGAATGAGCCTGACAGCAGAATGAACTGGTGTGCACAACAATACTCAGTGTTCTGTGTCAGTGGTGTCATTGCCTGTGGCGGCTGATGCACTATTGAACAGGGTTTCCCAGTAGCGGATTCCCTCCATGATGTCACGTTGCTGTTCGGTCTCTCTCTCATGTTCTGTCGAGATTCACCCAGTACTGTATGTACAAATAATAACAACTGAACCCTTCAGATATGTTTCCTTGATGTCATCAAACCCATTAGACAGATATTATTGAAGATTTATTTGTAACAAATCAGATGTGTGTTATGCAATAGGTTATTCTGTTTGAGATCAATTGACAGAAAACCATCAAAACAGTAAAGTGCATTTGACTCATGCATTATATTTCAGTTCTTCTGAAGACATATGCTTCGTATGACAACCAGACACTAATCATTAATTATTTGCTGAAAATCAAAAAATTGGCATTTGATGTCATTGATGTCAAATCTTCCACAATGACTTTAATGACTCAAACATCATACTGATGGTTTAAGCTTAACCTAATAATATTAACCTTACAAGAGCTGATAATAAACAAACTGGTAATGTTAAAAATGTCCGCTGTGAAAAATGTGGAAGTATTATATGTACCGTATAATAAACGTGAATGGAGACAGATCCTGTCGAACTCTGAAAAACACAATAAATACACAAATGAAGTGGGTAAAAGTAGTGTACTTCCACATTTTTCATGGAGGACATCTTAACATTACCAGCTTGTTTATTATCAGCTCTTGTAAGATTAAGAGAAGTCATCAATATGATGTTTTTGAGTCATTAAATCAGTTTCATTGTGCAAGATTTGACGGCAATTACATCAAATGCCATTTTTTTTTTGTTTGTTTTTCAGTAAATGACTTAAGTTTATGTCTGTTTCTCACACAAAGCAACACATGACTTCAGAAGACTTGAAATATAATGCACAAGTCATATATACTACTGCTATGATTTCAGGACACTTTTTTGTCTTTTTTTAGAGCTCAACAGCATTTTTCCCCACTGCCCATTCACTTTCATTATATGGTAAAGTAGACATCTGTCAAGACATTTTAAACATCACCCAGTTAGTTTATTGTCAGCTGTTTTAAGATTAAGGAAAGTCATCGATGACTTTGAGTCAGTTTTGTGACCCTCCGAAACCAAAGAGAACATGAGGATGAAGAAACAGTCTTTACTTGACTGCAGGGCTGGATTGGTAATCGGGCATACCGGGCGTTTTCCCGGTGGGCCGACGCACTTAAGGGGCCGACAGAAGTTTTTTTTTTTTTTTTGCCGAGGACCATCACGCACGGACAGCGAACAGCCAGAGGCCCATTGGTTTGACAGAGACAGAAGCGTTTGTACAGCGCTGCATTATAACCAATCACACACGACTCTGTTGAGCTTATGAATGCAATGGGTAATCAGAGACGTTCCGATGAGTCATCACTGAAACGAGGTGTTTTGTTCACTTGCTCGCTGACTGTGCAGATGTGCGTACGAATGTAAGTAAGATATTCATTTCACAGTGTAAACAGCTTCAGTGATTTAAATGGGAGTTTTTGAGAGTGCCTGAACTCTGGCTAGACTGAAGTGAAAATGTTCTTTGATAATTTTATATCAGTAATACAGTGCTATGTCACATGATAAGCATGACGAGCCCCCCCCCACTCGTGCCCCCTCAAAAATCATGAGTGCATAACGCCACTGAGTGTGATACATACATACACACACTACCAGTCAAAAATTTTTTGAACAGTAAGAAAGATCCAATAAAAAAAGATCCAAAGATCAGCATTTATCTGAAATAAAAAGCTTTTGTAACATTATAGGCTACATATACCATTCAAAAGCTTGGAGTCAGTATATATTTATTTTCCTTGGGAAATGATAGAAATTAATACTTTTATTTAGCAAGGATGCTTTAAATTGATCAAAAGTGACGATAAAGACAAAATACTTCTGACTGGTAGTGTATGAGTAAATTATATAGTTTAGCAGTTTTACATTTTAGACACGATACTGTCTGTTTTTGCTCTATTTCACCAATAAAAAATGTCGAGCGACAAATTGGTTTTCCGTTCCTGAATGAATCAGTGTTTTTGAATGTGAGCAGCAAATCAGAATATTTGAAGGATTTCTAAAGGATCATGTGACTGGAGTAATGATGCTAAAAATGCAGCTTTGAAATCGCAGAATAAATTACATTTTAAAATATAATTCAAATAGAAAACAGTTATTTTAAATAGTAAAAATATTTCACAATATTACTGCTTTTGCTGTATTTTGAAACAAATAAATGCAGGCTTGGTGAGCAGAAGAGAATTCTTTAAGTATAGTGTGTGTATATATATATATATATATATATATATATATATCGAAGTGGTGGTGGGCCGCCTGGACCAAAAAATGCCAGGGCCGATTTTTTGTCTCAGTCCAGCCCTGCTTGACTGCATTGATTTAGGCACATAAACGCATGCAGATTTATAACAGATGCAACCTTATCAGTACGCAGTGTCGTTCATACTAAAATGATGGTGCGTTTTCCATAACATTTAAAATGCACAGCACTTGTTTCGCTATGTTTGTGAGGACATTTTCAAACATTTGGCCCCTAACAAGTAACGAGAGAGAGAGAGAGAGAGAGAGAGAGAGAGAGAGAGAG